GGGCCGAGCGGCTGCGGACCCCCGGGCGCCGAGGAGCCGGGCGCCGCGGCCTCAGGCATGGATCAGTGCGTGACGGTGGAGCGCGAGCTGGAGAAGGTGCTGCACAAGTTCTCGGGCTACGGGCAGCTGTGCGAGCGCGGCCTGGAGGAGCTCATCGACTACACCGGCGGCCTCAAGCACGAGATCCTGCAGAGCCACGGTAGGGCCGCGGCCCGGCCCCTGCTCCCCGCCGGCCCCCAGGCCCGGCGACTTTGCCCTCGTCTTCGCGCCGGCCTTACCTGCAGCCCGCGGCGCCCTCGCTGCTAAATCGGAAGGAGCGCGAACCCACCCGGAAACGCGGCCCAGGGTCGGGCTCAACGTGCGTGGGGGGCCCACGGGGGCGTCCACGCCACGTGCAAACTGCCGCCCTCCCGGGGTGCGCGCCCCCCGCAGCGAGGGGCTCAGGGGCCGGAGGTGCGCGGATGACTTTGGACCCAGGGGTCCGAGTGGCGAGAGGGTCAGCGCGGGAAGCCGCCTGGCCTCATCGGCCCAGATCCTTGGCCCGGGGACCTTCTTTCCAGGTCTTTTTGTTTGTTTGAAAGTCGAGTGTTATTCTTAGCTGCGGGTTAGCAGAGCAGCCGCTCCTGAACTTCACCATTGACTCCTGTGTGGGAGAAGCTCCTGAACTCCTCGGCGGCACTGACCCGATTCCTGGGAAACCAGGCGAATCGAACCCTCGGTGTAGCCTCTGATGAGACCGAGAAAGCACAGTTGCGGCACAGGTTGTTAGTCCTTGCCGTCCCTGGTCCAGTTTATACTTGTTTTCTTCTCAGAAAACCGGTTTACCTGTAGAAGGTGCCTTGTTTTAGATTATTTGATTATTGTCCTCGACCATAGGAACAGATAGAGAACTTTGCCAGAGGTAATTTAACTTGTGGAAGCCCGCCGGGGAGGGGTTTTGTTTGGAGTCTTTAAAACAGCAGGAAAGGGTATTTGCTTCACAATAAAATAGAAACGCAGTGATTCTTTGGAGCAAGAAGTAAAGAAGGTTTTTTTTATTAGGTTCATGAGATTGGGGTCTTCCCAACTTGGGGACTTCATGTAAAAGGAAGGCTTGATGGGTAGGGAAGTGTATGTATTTGTAGAGGATGGGATGAAGCCGGCTCCCCCCTCGCCTTGGTTCTTTCTCCAGGCCTCCTTTACCCAGGTGAGTTTGATTTGGGAGCTAGTGCTAGTCCACCGCGAAGTCTCACAACTTCTTACTCTGGACACAGCTCTTTTGAACTCCCAGGAAGAAGCGTGGTGGTCGAGTATTGGAAAACCGTTTTAACTGGAGGAGTTGTGATATTAATACATCGGGGAGGGAGCAGACCTTATGGCTGCCTGCGAAAAGAAATTTGAACTGGTGGTCATGATATATATAGTTGGTACAGAAAGCGAATTAAGCTGGGGTGGGAGGGAGTCCTGGAAAGACGAGTGCGTTTGGTTTTGGACTCGAGGGATAAAGTTGAAGAGTTTAATGAAGATAGAGACAAGGGCTTGAGAGAGCGGTAGGTCAGACTGTTTTCTGATCTCATTTCTAGGAGGAAAATGGCAGGGATCGCTTGGAATGCAAGGAGGAAAACCCTTACGGTCCAGCTATAGCTGTGTATACCCTTTGGGTCGTGGAAGGCCAAGGAGGAAGGCCAAGGCAGAACTGGGAGAAACAAGGGGAAGGGTTTGGAGAAAGGTTGTTAAGTTATCACTTGGCTACTTAGGGCAGTCGGTGATCCTCTGTGCTTGCAATTTTGTGGAATTGTTAAAGCAAGTCAGGTTAAGAAGAGAAATAGCCGGGTGTGGCGGCTCACGCCTGTAATCCCAACACTCGCAGCACTCGGGAGGCTCGGGCAGGAGGATCATTGCGAGTTCGAGACCAGCCTGGGCTACAAAGTGAGCTCAAGGCCAGCCTGAACTGCATAGTGAGACCCTGTCTCAAAAAGACAAGAAAACAAAACAAAAAAAAAAACAAGAGAGATAGATGGAAGGAAACCCAGCAGCGCAATGGTTGGAGGCATTCTTTCCCTCCCTCCCCGGAGGAAATCTTGGTCTGGTTTAAGGTAGAAAGAGAGGAATTAGCGGGGGAAGGGAATGAATGAAGAGCTTGGAGGTGGAAGGAGCATCTCTTTTGGGGGCACCAGGGCAGAGACTGAGGGACTGGATGGACAGGATATGAAATGGAAAGTAAAGCATCATCTGCAATTGAGAGGATATTGGTGGTCAGATTTGCTTTAGGAAATTTAGGGCTAACACCAGCAGGATGAAATGATTGTGGGAAATTGCTGAGGCCAGAACTTATTTTAGACCACCTGGCTTCGTATGAGTTCATTTCAGAAATGCGTGGCAGAGATGGTAGATATGGAGAAGTTAATTAAGGCCCTGTATTTTGAGTTTGAAAGGATTGAGTGGGCTTTCAGAAAATGAGACTGTCACTGGATGTGGTGACATGACTAATTCCAACAGTCTAGGAGGATGAGGCAGGAGGGGATAGAAAGTTCCAGCCCCCCTGGGCAATTTAGTGACTTAGCAAGACCCTGCTGCAAAATAAAAATGGGCTGGGAATGTAGCTCAGTGTGAAGGCCCCGGGTTCTCACCCTAGTATGGCAAAAACAAATAGTGAAAACGTGACTGTCTAGCAAACATTTAAGACTTGTGCCTACGTTTCCTTTTTCTTTACAGTTCTTGCTTCCTTGCTTCATACATTTTAACGCCTTCCCCTTCCTGTGACAGTGATTGAGCTTGTTAGTCTGTACCATGTAATTTAGCCCTTAAATACAAACTTTTGTTTTTTTCTTTCTCTTGTTTGGTTTTGAGACACACCAGGTTTGTGATCTGATGCAAAGGTCTTCAATAATCTCTTTAATAATCTCCTAACACCCATCTCTATGGCCACCATTCTGTTCTGAACGGTCAGGGCCTGACCACCAAGTGCCATACTTTCTTTTACTTTGCAGATTTACCAGCTACTAGTTTATTTTGCTTCCATTGTGTGTTGCCTCTAGAAAAAAGGTGAATGAGTTCCAGTGTGCCTTTTCTTCCCTCTGAGTAAATCTGTTGAGCAGCTCCTGTGTCCCAGGTGCTGGACTCAGTCCTGAGAAGCCCAGGACCTCCACGGGCTGTGGTTTAGTCTACTCCCTACAGTGTGAGCTAGTCCTCTGTTGCTTTGCTGTTCAAATAGTTAGCAAGGATGTCTGTGTTCATCTTGTCGTTGACTTTTTATGACTGAGATCCTTTTATCCTTTGTCTCTTTTTATTCCCATTCTAAATTTCTTAATCTGTCCAGAAACTGATAACATGAGGGAATGTACCTTGAACATTGACATAGGGCTGTGGCTTTCAATAAATGTTAATCAAATCGAAATGTCTTAGTTCTCCCTTTTGACTTTTCTGTTTTGTCTGTTTTGTTTATAAGGTATTAAGACTTAGAAGATGGGATGATATAAAAGTTTTCCTCCTAGTCTTCTTAGTGATGCTTAATATTCTTTTGGCTTTTTAAATTTTAATTTTTTTGAAGGAACTAATCTAGACTGAATTATGGAGCATAGCTCCGTGAGATTTCAGTTTTCATATAGGTACAGTTTGGATTATGATTCCTAAATGGATTTCTTTCTGTTACTGCCTCCCCCCACATCAAAACTTGGGCTCCATTTTGTTTTCAGCTTCTATTAAGATCTCTGTCCATTTGGTGAAAGTGGAGTTAACTTTCAATAATTCAGAAGAGCTGAAATGCAGTAGATGTAATATTTATAAACTTGGATATTTTAATTTCTTTCTTGTCGCTAGGATATTCATAAAAATGTTGAATCAAGTCTTAGCAATTTCTGACTGTTCATTTCTACAAAATATTCTAGTCATAGGTGGTGAAATATTCTAGTCATAGGTGGTGACGTTTTCAGGCTTTTTGAAAATGTGAAGCCAGGTGTGCTGACACAGGCCAGTAATCCCAGCACTTCGGAGGCTGAGGCAGGAGGATTGCTGTGAGTTCGAGGCCAGCCTGGGCTACAAAATTAGTCCAAGGCCACCCTGAATTACATAGCAAAACCCTGTCTCAGGAAAGAATGTCTGAATAATCATCCTGGGTATTGAGGGTACTTTTTTGTGGTGCCTCACCATTTTTTAGAGTGATTTTCAGTATGGTGGGTCTCATCTCTCATGAGTTTGGCTCTTGGGCGGCCTGTCATGGTATAGTAACATCCTTAAACTCTCTTTTACAGACCTCATTAGAACTTCTGATAATCTGCCGATCAGTAGACATTTCAGGCTATCCCATCCTGCTGGCCCACTGGCCAGCGGATTAGTTTTAGCAGCACTGTATTTCTTTAACTGTTGGTGCAATTGTTTGAGGCCCACCTCCAACCCCCATATCATGAAAATAAGAGGCACACAGAAAATTGTAAGTGTAATTACTCCATAGGGATTTTCAAGGAATGTGGTTGTCAATTTTAATGACATTTGATTAAATTTGGTTAAATTAGGTGAGCCAAAATATTAAGTGGATCTTGTCACATAGTTGGACATATGGTTGTGTTAAGTCTTGTAACTAGTAAGGAAATAAAACGTATATAGCATTTTTACATATATATAAAATGCTAAAATTATATTGCTGGTTGTTTGTAAAAGCAAGATATAACTAGAAATTTTATAATTTGTAGCTTTGTGGAAACCATATACACACCCCTTTTGTTTGTTTGTTTGTTTTTTCTTCCAGTACCGGGAATTGAACTCACAACCTTGCGCTTGCCAGGCAAGCGCTGTGCCACTGAGCTAAATCACCAGCCCCTACACACCCCTTTTAACATTCTACTTTGCCATATTCTGATTTGAGATGCACTTTACTTTGCCATATGTTGATTTGAGATTCACTTTTATAGGAATCCATTGTGCACTAAAGCTCAGGTGTATTTCTTCACATCTTAGACATGCCTTGGGATAGCTTACTTCTACAAAGACACTGTGACTCAAAGGCCAGGAGTCAAAACATAAGCCGTTGAAGTCCAAGGGCTGGAAATGAGGTGGCTTTTGGAAAAGAGAAGAAATTTACAGTGGGGAATAGAGAGGAGAAACTGGGTTATTTTATGAATGTATCTTATTTGAAAATTGTGGGTATTTGTATACATATAAAGATTTCTTCGTATTTTCTCCTTAATAATTTCACTGGCAAATAGGAGCACATTCCTAATTTAT